CGTTCGGGGCCACATCGTGAGTAGGGACTGTCGTTGGGAGTGTACTCTGGGCAGGGACCATATCCTGTTGCACAGCTGGGGGACAAACGAACATGGAAGGGCATAAAACATGGTGTTGTGGCTGTGTGCAAGCAGCTGGACTGTCTGCAGGAGGCATAGGAGSGGATGTATCCGTTTGGGACAATGGAACCGCAACAACCCGTGGAGGAGGCACAGAGAGAATTGGGGTAAACAAAGAAGCAGGCCGTTGATCCCTGGCCAAGTGGCGATGTTGTGCATGTCGTCGACGATGATACACAATAAGAGGAGTGGCGATGTTTCTAATAGAAGATGTCATTGGCAATGAAGGCGGAACAATGGGAAGAATAGAAACCGGAGAATCGGTTCTCAAACGAGACCGTGGAGGAGATGGGGGTGGCGAGGAGGAACGCAGCCGTCTGCGGCCAAACACAGAAAGGGATGAAAGGGGGATGGATTCGGCAAGATGTCGGAACATAGGACGCGAGTGTCGGGCTGGGGTAGAGGAAGCTATACCAGTAAAAACTATAGCATGAGAAATTCGAGGTACAGAAGCARAGGAAGTGGTAAAAAGTGGAACCGAAGCAGAGACAAGTGTTGTAGTAGGAACCGCAGCAGAGGCAACTTCCGTAGCAGGGACCGCAGCGGAGGCAACTCCTGTAGCAGAAACTGCTGGAGTGAAACCCGGAGTTGAAACAGCAGCAGTAGAAACTGCAGCTATGGAAACCACAGCGGTGGAAGCGGCGGCGGTGGGAACCGCAACAGTGGGAACTGCATTAGCAGCAGATGAACAAGCAGTGACAGGACGAGCGTGATGTGGGGATAAAGAAGAAAGTGGGTGATGCAAGGACCATCGCAGCATGCGTCGGAACCACTGAGAGAGACGGGTGACATGTGTAGGATAGCGACGTTGGCGGGAGCGTGTGTAGCAGGTCCATCCTTTAGCGAGGGTTGGTGGGGAATGGCCACGAGAAAGCATGCGACGAGTGAGTGTTGTCGCTGCAGTTCGGAAGTCCTGCCAATTATTGCAGATGCGTTCAAATCTGGTCAATTGCCCAGTGAACACACCTGCCGGTTGATGGGAAGGGATGTCGGAGGTARCACTTGGATAGCGAATAACAGGGAAATCCCAAGCAGCCGCTTTATCAAACACGCTCATGCGAAGCGAACCATCAGAACGTACCCGTAGATGCATACCTAAAAAGGTACACGAGCCATCTATAGCCGTAGTTTCCTTCCACTCAAGCCCATAGTGCTATGAAGGAGGAGGTAATTGCCCCCATGAAAGAACATCATCAATGAGGCAGTAAGTGAAGGCATATCGCTGACCAGCTTGGGGATCATGTTGACGAATGTCATCAATAAAGCGTGCTTCATCCCAATAGAGCGTTAGATTGGAGATTTCTGGGCCAGCATTTGTTCCCATTGGAATACCAATGATTTGCTTTCGAAGAGTGCCATCTCTAGTGTACAGAAAAGTGTTTTCTACAACAAAGCGAAGATGTTGGAGAATCTGAGAAACGGAAAGGCTGTCTGGTCCTGAATCGGTTGTCCATTGGCTAGAGCAAGGCCCGCGAATGAACATGTTCAAGGCTCTGCAACGCGAATGCATGCGGGTATGCTGAATAGCATAAGCATGAGCTTCATCAACAGCCTTTGCCACATTATTCAAAATGCGGTCACGAGGAAGGTTGGTGTACATTGTGGTGAAATCAACCGTGCGAGGAGAGAGGCCACGTAGAGAGGACACATTTTTTTTTAATAACAAAACGCTCAGGCCCCTTCTATTATGGGGGGCATCAGTTCGGTTGCTCATCACTGGCAAGCAGGATACAAGTACAAGTAATAGACAGAGGGAAAAGATTGGTCCAGGCCCCTGCCTCCCGAGACGCTCTGCAAGGGGGGTTGAGGGGATAGCCAGGACGATCTCTTGCTAACTCCCCCCTGGGGCTCACATAATGGTCGGGAAACAGAACTATGTACCCAGACACACACTATGTGGGCCTCGGGGGAGGCAGCACGGGCCCCCCTGAGGACCTCTTCAGTCACCGGGCCTCACATCTTTATGCCCTATTTCCCCTTTCCTCTTCCCCCCGTTGACCCTACTCCTTATTGCAGCATCACACACTCACTTGTCTTCTTATTTCCTCCGTACTCATAGTTTTTACACTGCTCCCGAGGCTAGCCCTTACCCACTACTTCCAATCTTAGCCCAATCATAGCCCACTCTCACACCCCATGTACATCTCATCTACTTCCTTCCCAGATGCTTCCTTGCCCCTCCATTCCCTTTCACATCCACAGGACATTCTTACCCCTCCCCCCCCCCATTTTGCCAGATTTGCCTCCCTAATTCCCCTCTTGAATCCCCTACCTATCCAACCCCCTATCAACCAGAATTGTCCATTCCCATCCTACTAATGATACACCTACCCTAGCCCTCCTACGACCTACCTTCTACTCCTAACTGTAGTACATCACTATCCTCGAAACTAAACCACACCTACTGTGACCTGGAACCTAGGGTACATCTATTCTTCCAAATCCGGAGCATATTTTGGGAGCAGAGTCCCAACAACATGTTGCCTGACATCGGCTCCTTTACCAGTGCCGGAGTAGTCTCCCCACTTTTCCCAAAACTTCACACCGTCACGCCCCTGCCACTTCTGCTTCAGCCAATCTGCCAGTAGCACCACCCGCATGTTCTGCAACGTGCTGCCTCTGATCCCCTGGATGGTGACCTCCTTGCCCTGGCGAATAGTTCATTACGCAGTGTCCATATCGCCCATAGCACCGCGCCCCTGACCACTTCCACTGTGTACAGCCTCCGTTTGTTTTCCCCTGTCCAACACCATTGCAGTTCCTAATAGGATAGCAGCATCATCCTCATCTGTCACACTCCATAAGAAGGGCTCCCCTGATATACCGTCGCCCACCATTTCCAAAAATCCGCCATGACGGGACAGTGAAGGAAAAGATGGGGAATAGACTCCATCTGGCCGCATCCTGGCACCACACAGAGTCCCTCTGTGTGCTGGCCTTTTAGTGCCAGCTATTGTGCGGTGGGGATAGCCAGATGGTAAATTTGCCAGAGCAGCCTTGCCTGCTTCTAGTTTCGCAGCGTCCTCAAGATTGCACATTGCTCATGCCCTTTCCAACGGGTCCACCAGGATCAGTACCAGGAAGATCCGGTCTCTCTTGGCCCATCTGTCTTTGAGCTCTTCAAACATGTCCAGCTTCGGAGAATAGATCTGTAGATCGTCTTGGTTATGAGCTGATGTAGTGGGATATCTCTCTTGTTATGATTCTGGGAGGGAAGGGACCACTCTTGGGGGTCCAAGACCAGTTGTCTTCGGGTTACTTAGACAAAACAGGAGGTAAACTTCGCTGCTCCACTTGCCCCCTTTACAGACCGATACCGTCTCCACCGTGGACGGACCAATTGGGCACCTGCAGGGAGACCTTCCTCATCTGCACCCAACAGTGGGGAGCGCAGGCCCTCATAACCATTCCCTATCAGCCATTCCATGGCCACCTGTTTTCCCGCTTCTTGCAAGCCCTATACACCATGCATGGTCGGGCTTCCCCCTTACGCCGCACCCATTCGCCTTGTTGTAGGTCCTCAGTCTTCAGTAGCTCAATCCACTTGAACTGCCTTGGCAATCTTTCCACCATCTCTTCATCTGTTCTCCAGCTCTTGGTCTGCGCGTCCCACAAATGTCCCACTTTATAGACTCCCTGCTCCGCCCACTGCCGGCCAAAGGCCCCCGCCCTGCCTGCCATGGGAAGGGATCTCCCTCAAGGTCACATATAAATCTATTACCAAATAGCAACTGGTTGTAGACTGCATCCGCACACTCTGGCCATCTGCAGTGAAGGTGAATCTTTCCCTTCCACAGCAACAGCGGGGTAGTCCATACTGCGTTCCTCTGGATGTAGCCCATCATCTCAGCACTAGTGAAACACGAGTCAACTACTTCCGGCGAGGTTCTCAGCGAAAATGCTACCCGTCGTGCATCACCTCCCTCCATGGCTCCCCCGCTGTCCGCAGCAGCATCCATACAAGATCCCTTAGTTCTAATGCGATCATCTGCAGCCTGGGATCAAGAATTCCCACCAGGCCCCCATCCTACCTCGGCTGGGTCAGCTTCACTGAAATCAGACTCGACTTCAACTTCGCTTCCAGCATGCATACACATGCAGATGTCGATGGCAGAATAACTTTCACAAGGCAGAATCAGCAACAAGCGTGAGACGGCGCACAGCGCCCACACAGAAGACTCAGATATATGGCCCTTGGCCAGAAACTCAGTATAAGTCGACTTGTTACAGCTTGCAGTTATGGCGTCTGATCGCCTGTCTGAAGTCCCACCCGTACACTGTATCCACCATCAGACACACGCACTCATGCACGCACGCACTAGGATCTACCCCGAATGTCCCACGCACACACACACTTCTACTCTACACACTCTGTTGACGTCAGCAGCTTGGCGGCTATGGCCGCCGTCGTCTTCCTCCTCTAGGTAGCTATGGTTGCCGTCGTCCTCCTCTGCCCGCTTTGTCTCTGGGCACATGCAGGCCTTCTTGCACAAGTCGCACTAGCAGCGCTTCTGCATGGCTAACAGGTGAATGAATGAATGGTTGAGCGCTACCTCTTTATTTATACTGTTTTGACGGTGGTCTGGTTGGCCTCTGGTCCCAGGCCCAAGGTGTGTGCAGCCCCACTTGGTACTTGCTGACTAGACAAAATGGTCAAGTTGACGTGTTTAGACCCTCCTAGGCTGCAACTAACTGACTCTTCGCAATACTTAGGGCTAACCTCCCCATCGTTGACCCAGCTACCTACTGACTTCTAGAAGATCCTGGGCTAAGGGCTAGACAGACCCTCATGACTACTAATCCCATCTTCTGCAGTTCAAGTCCACATGACCCTAGCTAAGTACATAACACACGGACCTACATTTCAAGGGACAAGTCAAGGGTTCAAGGCACACAGGGTCAACGGGTTGCTGTACAAGATTCGAGGACAGGTCTAGGGTTCGAGCCCTAGGTTCTGCAATTGTCCTACGAACTGGGTGAAACCGTTTCACTCCCGCCGCCCTAAATTTGAGGTCCTCCGATAACTCTCTAATCCAAGGCAGGACCTTTACCCTTCCTTGCCCTCTCCTAGGCATGCACTATGTCGGGAGTGGTCTCTAGAAGCTCAGTTTTGGTGAACCACCTGTCGTCCTCTGGTTCTTGGTAAGCAAACCTAACTTTATATTGCTTCTGAGGACGACCCCGACCTCCAGTTGTAAAGACGTTTTCTTCCACTATGCGGGCTATGTCGTATGTGCCATCCATATCGGGCGGGATCATAGATCTCCGCGAAGGAAATTGCTCGCTGGTCATACACGGCAACAACTTTGACGCATGCAAGACCGGATGCATATGGAGGTGTGGTGGTATCTCTATGGTGTACGATGGTCTGTCCTCTTCTCCTTTGACTTCGAGGACAGGCCATGGCCCCCGGTACGCGGGCAAAAGCTTTTGTGAGATGTTTTCCTTTGGTGCGAATTCCTTTGACTTGACCCAGACTAGGTCGCCTACCTGGAACTCTGAAGGTCGGCGATGCTTGTTTGCTTGCTCAATCATGCGAAGTTGGGCCTTTCTAAGGTTTTTGACCACCCTAATAACTACCTTTTCGTGCTGCAAAGCGAACTCTCTGATACCGGGAGGCACCCTCTGAATCTGGTCCCGGTTCAATACTTCAAACAACCTACGTGGACTAAAGGACTTATGCAGCTCGTTAGGAGTTCGACAAGTACCTAGATGTACACTGTTGTTATATGCGCTAGCCACCTTGGGAAGCATCTCATCCCAATTTACTTGATCTGGTCTCATGTACATTCTGAGTAGCTGCTGCAAGATCTTATTCATCTGCTCTGTATGGCTGGATGACGACCTGACGACATCAATAGCTTAGAGCCGTAGACTTTCATAAGATCTTGTCAGTTCTGACTGGTAAACCGCGTGTCTCTATCACTAACTATTGATAGCGGTATGCCATGTTCGCTTACCCATAAATAAAGAAAGTTTGCTATAACTAAATCTGTTCTAGCCTCTAAAGGCGAAGGTACGAAGACTTAATATTTGCTGAAGTGGTCTATTATGACCATGACTTGGCTTTTGCTATGCCCACTCCTGAGACCGGTATCCATGAAATCAATGGACACTGACTCTCAGGGTCCTGCCGGGATAGGCAAGGGTCTGAGGGGACCTAGAGGTGCTCGTGTCGTTGTCTTGTTGCGCTGGCGGACTTTACAACTGCGAATATGCTCTCTGCAATCTGTCTTAATGCCAGGCCATGTGTACGACATCATGAGGTTGGCCAAAGTCTTTTGCCAACCAAAGTGCCCTTCTGTATCATGGCATTCCTCTAAGATCAAGCTATGGATCTCCTCGTTATTGGGGACGTAAAGTTTGTCAACGACATTGGTCTTCTCATATAGTAGCCTGTTCGTGGTTTGATAGTGTGGCTCACTATCAGGGGTTTCTTTCACTCGCTTCAGTAACTCACTATAAATGAGATCTTCAGCATACGCATCCTTTATCCTTTGATGCAGGTCAGCCCCTATATCCAAATAATGTCCTATCGCACCGAGGTAATCTGCTCTTCTGCTTAGCACATCACTACCACATTGTACTTACCTTTAAACCACCACTAGCTCCGATCCTGTTTTTACCGACCCTAAATTTCACTGCGCACCAAGTTTTTCCGAGCCTGAAAAAGAAAAAAAAGAAAAAAGAAAAAAGAAAAAAAAGGCAACAACACTAGTGACACGAAAGCAGCTAGTTACAACATTTGGGGTGCATGTGAGAGTGTGCCCTAGCAACGGGTGTTACAACCCTCCCGTAAWAAGGGCAACACTTCCAGGATCAACAAAGAACCAAAAAAAAAAAAAAAGCTCTTTGGACGTGAAAGCAGCTGGATATTAGAATTGCGGCACATGTGAGAGTATGCCCTCCAACGGGCCGTTACATGAGGACAAAAAAGAAGGGAAAAAAAAAACAATCTCTAGTGATGTGAAAACAACAGGATACAAAATCTTGAGTACATGTGAGAGTGCCCCCTTCGTTGCAAAGTGTCAGTTGTCCGTGGATTCCGCGCTGCCTGGTTGGCAGGGCACTATAACCACATCATAAATGGAAAAAAAAACAACAAAAAAGAAAACGGAACTAGCTGTTATTCTGGGTAGATGCGTTCCTTCAAGCATTCATGTCAGCACACCACCTTCACGGCCTTCCCCGATGTCCTCCTTTTCCCCATTGTGGCTTTTTTTTTTCCTTTTTTTTCGGTTGTACAGGCCTACAAGGCCCAAACACTTTCTTTTGCCCGAGCCTCCTCGGGACCTTCGATAAATGCAGTGTGATGTATATTCCCGTTTTTCCCAACACTGAGACAGGTAGTGGTGGTTTAACGGGCTTGAGCTCAAAGTCAAATCGGTCTATTTCAGCTGCCCATCTAGTCAACTTGGGCGTCATCTTGGCTTGTGTCTTCAACCACCTTAGTGTCTCGTGGTCTGAATGTACTTTAAAGTGTCTCCTAGCTGACATGAACTCTACGGGTCGATAACCATTGTCGTCGTCTTGCTGTAATACACTTGTATGCCATACTGACTAGCATCCGTTGTGACGACAAATGGTAACGAATGATCGGCTACTTTGAGGACATGGTACTCTACCAAGGCCCTCTTCAACTTCTTTAGGGCCGAGGTGCAATCTTTGTCCCACTTCGAAGTTGCTTCCTTCTTTAGAAGTTTGCGAAGGGGAGCAGCGATACTGGAAGAGTTTCTTACAAACTTCCTGTAGTAGTTGGCCAATCCTAAAAATGACCGCAACTCAGCCAGAGTGCGAGGAGTTAGCCAGTCTCTAATCGCTGAGATCTTACCGTCCTCTGGTCGAATGCCATCCCCATCTAATATGTGGCCCAAGTACATAACTTTTGTTTTGGCCCACTCACACTTTTTTGTGTTGATCTTGAAGTTATTCTCTCGTAACTTCCCCAAGATCTGCCTTAGATGGTCCTCGTGTTCCTTGAGGGTTTTGCTGAACTCTAATATATCATCTAGGTGGACTACTACGAACCTATCTAGCCATGGTCTAAACAAGTCATTCATGCAGCACTGGAATGTGGCTGGTGCGTTAGTCAGTCCAAAAGGCATCACTACAAACTCATAATGCCTGTATCTGGTCCGGAACGTCGTCTTGTACTGATCGTGAGGGTGTACCTCTATCTGGTGGTATCCTGACTTCAAATCTATCTTTGTGAAGTACTTACAACCTTACACCCGATCCAGTAGGTCACCTATGCGGGGCAATGGTTCTGCATTTTTAACTGTTATGGCGTTCAGACTCCTGTAGTCTATGCGCATTCTTAACTCTCCCCTTTTCTTTGGGACAAAAAGAACAGGTGCGCCAAAAGGAGATGAACTAGGTCTGATCCATCCTTTTTCTAGGAGCTCATCTAGTTGCTTGCGCAGCTCCTCTAATTCCTTAGGAGACATTTTGTAGACTGCCCTTTTTGGTGTTCTATTGCCAAGCTCAATCTCTATGCGGTGCTGGATGGGTCTTGGCACTACCCCTGAGGGCGCCTCCGATAAGTCTTTGTTCCTCCAGCAAGCTGGCAATAGTGGGATGGATCTTCTCTTCCTCCTTTGGAAAGGAAGTATACACAGCCTGAGGACCATGGATCCTCCTACTCGCGCAGACAGGTTTCCTCTCTCACTTCTTGATCATTTGTTTTTTGTTTCGAATTTCAAAAGTTTATGAAGAAGAAGGATGGACATGGGAGAGGGCAAGGATCAACAATTCAACACGTGGTATTTAGTATTTACAACTAGGCTACCAGCCGGGCCACCCGGGTGACATCCTTTGCCTGGGCGGCCCAGCCGTGCAAGGGCCGAAGTAGTTCCCAGCCAAAAAAAAAATAAATCGAAAAACTCTGAAGAAAAACTATGTTGCGCAGAAAAATAAAGTGTACAAATTTTGCCTCAGGGTCACATCGAAATTTTGTACCAAATAAAAAATAAAAAATAAAGTTAAAAAATACATATTTCTAATTTTTAATTTAAAGTTTAAATGTACATATTTTTAATTTTTAATTTTATCTTTTTTTGGCCCGGCCGGGCAAGTGGTCCAGGGCGACTCTGGTAACCTAGACAGGCTAGACTTACTATCATTTACTTCATTTAGTTTTAACTGTTTAATACATCGTTGTTGACTTTTTTTTTTTTTTTTTCGTTGTTGACTTTTTTTTTTTTTTTTTTTTTTTTTTTTTTTTTTTTTTGGTATCCCTCATAACCCCTGATTTTTTTTTTTGTGTGTGTGTGCATGTATGGGCATGTTCCTCTGTGCTTGTGCATTTGTGTTTATGCTTCTGATGTGGTTACATGGTTTTGAACTTCATTGATCTACTGGGATCACCAAGCTAAGGATATCTGATATGCAAAACAAAACTGGAGCTTTTGAAATTGTTTGGATGCCCTTGTTTGGTAGCCAACACTGTAGTGTGCTGGGAATGCCGTTGCCTATGCTGCTTTGTGTCAAAAAGGAAGAAATTGGAATCCCAATCTCTGGGGGTGTCTGGCATTGCCAAGCTAAGGATCTTTCCAAAAAACAAACTGCCATTTACTGCCAGGAACCGGGCCCTGCGTCCCTCACATCATATGCTGCGGCCACTTGGATGTGTGAGGCACTCTGGCCAAGCTCGTCCCTGGTCGCAATCCAACCAGGACCAACAGAGGTATCAACGGCCGAACATGAATAAAAGCTAGAACTTACAACCGAAAATAGGCGAACAGCCACACCCTACAAACTACAGTTGAGGACCTTTTGGCTGCGTAGATCCCTGCCTCCAAATCTCTATTTTAGTACTGACTTAGAGCTCTCTAAGGCTTACTGCAATTCAAAGCTGATTCCTAACAGCGCTCAAATCTCAGACCAAACAACTACTCACTCCTACGAGAAAACTCACTACTCGAGCTTGTGTTTGGAATTGGTAGTGCAAGCTAAGGATCTTTCATATGCAAAGCAAACTGAAACTTTTGAAAATGTTTACATGTCCTTGTTTGGCAGCCAACACCGTGGTGTGCAGGGAATGTCGTTGCCTATGCTGCATTTTGTGACAAGGAGAAAGAAGCTGGACGCCCAGTCTCTGGAGGTGTCAATTTCTGTGAGCAATACCTGAATCCTACTGCAAATTTCCAAGAGCAGGTACTTCTTATTCATTGTCAGGATTCCATGCTTGCCAATTCTTCCATGTGTACTGGCTTATCCTCATTGACTGTGAAAAGATAAAATCATAAAATTTAGATAAGTTCATAAAACCGATTTTGGAGTTTCTGAAATCAATCTTGTTGTACTTTTATCCTTCAAACTCTTGTTCATCATGATCGGATTGATCTCTCAGAGTTTATCAAATACCATTGCTAAGATCTGTTGTGATGCTGGGGTTCGAGTGTCAAAGTGTGAGAATGCTGCTGGCTATCAATTGTGCTTCTTTTCTAGCCATCCACCCGCCCACAGATTCCCCTGCCCTCCTAGGTTCTGCGGTGTAATCCACTAACCTTCCTAAGGGATGACCTCTTAGCAAATACTACTGCGTTTCTTCCATTCTCAATGTTGATGCTTCCCTAGCTGCTAGCAGTGCAACGGCGCTCCACATGTCAGGCTAACCCTTCTATATCTTCTGGCTGGGTCAAAAAGAGTCATGTACTCACACACACATGCATGCACAACACACAAACGCGAGCACACACACAGACATCCCAAATTCTTGCTCATGATGTCAAAAACACAAGGCGTTAATCCGGAAAGGGATTCAGTAAAGCAATTCTTGTGCCTGTGGTACATCACAAACAGTGCCCCTTCCTCCTCATAGCCCTTCTAATCACCCTTCTTATCATACGCGTCATCACAATTATGCACAATAGACTGCTCGAGTTGATTGGCTGCACATCATGACTAGAACACGCTTCCATGTCCTGTGACATGTTGGTTTATAAACAACTCCACTATGTGGTTGCTGCAGCCCGACAAAGGAGCAGCTCGAGCTGCGATTGCGAGGCGTTGAACAAAATCTAATTCACATAGACATGGATGCTCTCTGAGTTTCAGGTGTAATTTAAACCACCAGTACACCCGCACCTAAAATCCCAAACCTACCTGCCCACTGCGCGCCACTATTTTCCGAGCCTTCTGCGTGAGGGTACCTCCAGTGGAATTTCGGAAGTGGCACTGGTGCCGGTAGTCTACCTGAACCAAAAAAAGAAAAAAAAAGAAAAGAAAGGAACAAACATGCCAGAGAGCAATGATGTCGTGAAAGGACATCCTCGAGGCCATACACAAATGATCACTTTCCTGAATGCATCTGACCACTATTACGGGGAGAGGGAAACGTTGCTGTTTTTCCTTTTTCTCTCGTTTTGTTCTTTTTCTTCCTGGCCCTGCCAGCAAGGCAGCGCATATTCCTCTTGCTCAAAACGCCCTCGCTGAGGGCATACTCCCACTAGCGACGTTAAAATGCATCCAACCACTTTCACGGCCAAAGCGTTGTTGGCTTTTTTTTTTTTTGTTCTTTTTTTGAGAGTTGGACAGTCCTGCTTCCCGTGTTGTACGTTCTGCCGCAATCACGGCCAAAGCTTGTTTTGTTTTTCGGGACGTACGGATTTGAGATGGGCCCAAAAATTCGAAAACTTTCTGACGCTCCGACCCTGCCCCGAGCCCTCCTACTTCTTGTGGCGACAAGTTATTTTGCTGCAAGGCTGAGGCCGTGTACTAGTGGTTTAAGCCATCACTCATACCCAGGTAGCTCCCGTTACCAAAACACAGGTTGTGAGTTCAAACACTCAGGGGTCGACTTGATACTGTACATGGGTAAGGTAAGGTCTGGGGATCGAAACCTGGGATCTGCATCTGCCTCTGCAAAGGTGAAAACTGTTTCACTCCCGCCGGCCTAAATTCGAGGTCCTCCGAGAAAACTTCAGTCCAATGTAGGACCTTGACCTTTCTTATCTCGCTCATAGGCTCAAACTACATCAGGAGCGGTCTCGAGAAGTTCTGTTTGTGTAAACCAGCGGTCGTCCTCTGGTTCCTGAAAAGTGGATCTGACTTTATACTGTTTCTGTGGACGACCTCTACCTCCTGTTCGAAAGACATCTTCACCTACAATGCCATCAATGTCGTACTTTCCGTCCATGTCCGGAGGAATCATGGACCTCCATGACGGGAACTGTTGACTTGTGATACAAGATAACAACTTTGATGCATGGAAAACTGGGTAGGTGTGGAGGTGTGCTGGAATCTCTATCGTGTAGGACAGTCCATCCTCTCCGCCCTTGACTTCTAATACTGGCCACGGTCCTCTATAAGCAGGTAGCAGCTTCTGCAAGATGTTCTCCTCAGGAGCAAACTCTTTTGACTTGACCCAGACTAAGTCGCCTACTTGAAACTGTGAGGGGCAACAGTGCTTATTAGCTTGCTTTATCATTTTGTGCTGGGCTTTCCTGAGGTTGTTTACAACGATAGTTATCTCTTTCTCGTGCTGTATCACAAACTCGCGTGTACCGGGCAGTAACCTCTGTATCTGATCCCGGTTAAGTCCTTCAAATGGTTTGCGCCGTCTAAAGGACTTGTGCAGTTCGTTAGGCGTGCGACACGTAGCTAAGTGCGCACTGTTATTGTATGCGCTGGCTACCTTTGGGAGCATCTCGTCCCAGTTGATCTGATCAAGTCTAATGTACATTCTAAGAACTTTTTGCAGTAGCTTGTTCATCTGTTCGGTCTGACCGTTAGTCTCAAGATGACGGCCATATGACATCAATAACTTTGAACCATAAACTTTCATCAGTTCCTGCCAGTTCTGACTGGTGAACCTGGTGTATCTGTCACTAACTATCGACAGTGGGATACCATGTTCACTGACCCAATGGTCAAAGACCTTCTGGACTACTAAATATGTTCGTGCCTGTGCAGGCAAGGGAATAAAAACTGCATACTTACTAAACCTATCAACTATGACCATGACTTGACTTTTGCCATGCCTACTCTTTACCCCAGTATCCATAAAATCGATGGACACCGATTCACAGAATCTCCGGGTCTGTCAGGAATAGGCAAGGGTCTGAGAAGACCAAGAGGGGCTCGCGTAGTAGTCTTATTTCTCTAACAGACTTTACAACTGCAGACATACTCTATGCAGTCGGCCTTCATTCCGGGCCAGATATATGCACGCACGAGGTTGGCTAGTGTCTTTTGCCAACCAAAGTGTCCCTCTGTGTCGTGGCATTTCCCTAAGATCAAACTATGGATCTCCTCACTGTTAGGAACACACACACGGTCAACTACATTAGTCTTCTCGAATAATAATCCATCAGTAGTGCGATAGTCTGGTTGAGATTTTGGAGCCTCTCTAACTCTCTTGAGGAGGTCAGTGTAGAAAGGATCCTGCGCATACGCTTCTCTAACTTTCTGCTGCAGGTCCCTCCCTATGTCCGGATAGTGAACTATCGCTCCAAAGTAATCAGCTCTCCTACTTAGAGCGTCCGCAACTACATTATACTTCCCTTTTACTGGCTTAAGTTCAAAGTCATACTGATTTAGCTCTACGGCCCACCTAGTAAGCTTAGGTGTCATCTTGGTCTGTGCCTTCAACCACCTTAGTGTCTCGTGGTCTCAGTAGACTTTGAAGTGCCTCCCAAGCAAGTAATGCTTCCAGTGCTCTAATGCTTGCCTGAGAGCGTAGAGTTCCGTCTCATAGGTGGATGTCGCTACCTTCTCTGAAGGCATCCTGGTAGACATGAACTCTATGGGCCTATATCCATTGCCATCGTCTTGCTGTAAAACAACACCTATGCCATACTGGGCAGGGATGGATCGGCTACCTTAAGGACAGGATACTCTATCAAAGCCCGCTTCAACCTCCTCAGGGCTGATGTACAGTCCTTGTCCCACTTCCAGATTGTTTCTTTCTTTAGCAACCTGCGAAGGGGTGCAGCGATGGTGGAGAAGTTCCTGACGAACTTCCTATAATAGTTAGCTAGGCCTAAGAACGACCGCAACTCTGTCAGCGTGCGGGGCGTTGGCCAATCTCTAATTGCAGTTATCTTGCTATCTTCAAGTTTTATGCCGTCTTCGTCTAAGACGTGGCCCAACTACAAAACTTGTGTCTGGGCCCATTCGCACTTCTTTGCGTTGATCTTGAAGTCAGCTTCTCTAAGCTTCTCCAAGACCTGCCTCAGATGGCCCTCATGCTTTTGGAGGGTCTTGCTAAAAACTTGAATTTCATCTAAGTACACTACCACAAATTTGTCTAACCACGGCCTAAACAAATCATTCATACAACGTTGGAATGTTGTTGGCACATTGGTTAGTCCAAAGGGCATGACTATAAACTCATAGTGCCCATATCGCGTCCGGAACGCCGTCTTGTACTGGTCATCAAGGTGGACTTCTATCTGATGATAACCAGACTTCAACTCTATCTTCGAAAAATACTTGCAGGCCTGCACCCGATCCAATAGATCATCTATACGGGGCAGTGGTTCTTCATTCTTTACTGTGACGACGTTGAGACCTCTATAGTCTATGCACATCCCGAGCTCTCCCTCCTTCTTGGGGACAAAAAGAACAGGTGCTCCAAATGGAGATGAACTGGGCCTTATCCAACCCTTCTCGAGGAGCTCGTCCAACTGCTTATATAGCTCCTCTTAACTTTTTGGGGGATATTTTGTAGATGGCTCCCTTAGGAGTCCTACTGCCAGGCTCTATCTCTATGCGATGCTGGATTGGTCACAACACCACTCCTGTAGGCGGCTTAGCTAAATCTGTATATTCTTCCAGCAGCTTGGCAATAGCAGGGTCTATGGGTCTCTCTTCTTTAGGCTCAGTGACCGGCCTAACATAGGCTACAAAAACCTGCTCTTCTAACTGTTTTTTTCTCACTAAACGTGCGAACGCGGGAGCACTGAGACAACAATGTGCTAGAGAGTTGTCTACTCTTGACACATGAAACAGGCGAGCAGTCTTAACTTCACCTGTGGGACTAGGGAGCCTACACTCGTGCTCTCTCAAATGGAGTGTGGCCCCGACTGCCTCTCCCCAATCCATTCCTAGGACCATATCGAAAGGAAGGCTGCCCTCTATGAGGAGAGTCGGGGAATGGAGAACTTTTTCCACTTTCCCATCTTTCTCTAGGCGAAAGTACGCCTGGACTC